AATCTACAGGACACCTCTTCTGGTGTACTGTATTAGAAGGTCCTTTGAGAGAACTTTGAAGGAATCGTAGTACTCGTAGAAGCAAGGAACCGTGATATAGATTACACTTACACATCCGACAGGGTTGTGAAGTAGTTTTGACACACATATGATATATACACACACTGGCTCTCTGACAGCGGGGTTATTAGAAAGTTTTACTGTTATATATGCCCGTGTGTGATCATCGATTGCAAGACCTTATCTGAATGCCCTTAAACTTGCACTCCTGCATTTTTCCAAGAAGATGATTTGGCGAAACCGATCGATCACCGCTGTTGACATGACAATGTATCGTTACCCACTGTTCATTGCTCGTCGGGTGAATACTAGTAATCAGACGTGCGGAAAAATGAATTCATTGTCATCCGTCGCCATGCCGTGAATGGATGGAGGAGAAAATTAGGCCACACTGATTTAATTGTAAGGATGACGTCCTCTGAAGACGCCCCCCCCCCCAAACTGGTGCGCGCGGGCGAATAAAACAAAATTCCAGCCAAAATGCTCGTACTAAACCAGAGGAATACAAAGCTGGTATTGTGAATTGGCGGTAGTACATAGCGACTTTTAGGACAGTCCGGCACATGCTGGCTTTTTGCTGCTGTCGTCACTGTTCTGATTTCGTGAGTTCCGTGGAGCTTCGGCAGCCTGGGTGCCATTCTCCATAGTTACCGCCGGCTTCCTATTGTCGCTAGCTACCATGAACTACGGAGGATGGCACCCAGGCCAGAGCTTCGAATTCAGTGAAGGTGACTTTTTTAGAATGGCGAAAATCAATGCACGCGCGGATGTCATCCAGAAAATTAAATCAGTGCGGCCTCACAGATCTAAATGAACTGTGGCTCGCCAGAACACAACAGTGCAGGTAATAAACGGCGCAGCTGGCGGTAAGAGCCAGACACTCTTACGTTGATCACAGGGGACACTGCTACAAGTGTGCTGCATGATTATGTTGAGACAAAGTTGGGTATCAACGTCTACTGCTATGACTATTATATAACTTACGGCTGTCTGATCATTCACGTCATCCATAGAACACACATGGTGTAATCACAGCTGTTAATGCCTGTGCAGACGTCGACGTGGGTGCGTTGTTCCCAGGTGATTTTTAAGATATTGCATTATATATTTCCAATTTAGATCGTTGTCAGTGAACTACTTCTTAAAGCTTGCAATTGTACCTTACGCAGTGGCGAGTCATGCGGCAATAATTAATAATGTTTGCAGCACAAATGAGTTAGCATGAAAGTGTAACCTATCGTTAATAGGCGTAGACTAGATTTGAGCTAGGCCATGTTGATTTGATTATATGGATGACATCCGCGCGCGCGCATGAATTTTCGGCCGTTTCCAAAACAAATTTTCAACCATACTGTAAATCGTACAGAACTGTTGCAAAGATATACCATACGTTGCAAGAAAAATATTGGAAAACGGTACCAATGTTGTAGAATGCTAGAATCAAACGAAAAAAGACGAAAATGAGTAGATTATTAGCCATACCATACTCTGTGTCATTTGTTCAACCTCCATGACCACGTAGACTTCATAATGAAAGCAACCTTTTTTACAAAACTTTTTTTATTTACACGCTCGCATCAGTTTTGGGCCGGTGTTCCCAGAGGATGTCATCCATGTAATCAAATCAACATGGCCGCCAAATATCGTTTCGCAATAACTGTCAGACCTATCTTTGCAAGAAAGCATCTCGTAGCATAACGAAACTAGAGTTCCGCGATCTCATACCTTCGCCAAATGATGTCAATCTTTATGGCTTACAAATATAGATTATTCCCCCTGATTGTGCAGATAGGGTCCTCATTTCCATGAATTATATCAGCCTTTATCATATTCTCAACCAAAAGACAGTCTTATATTAACAAAAGGTGCCATTCTATTATTTCCTCATAAATTATGCAAATAAGGTCCTGATTTAAATACATCATGTTTAATGATGTTTACCTTCACTGAACTTTCAAATACCACAAGTATGAAATTCCAGGCAGTTATCTTTACAGAATTATAACATTTTCTCATTAATTATGCAAATTAAGTCCTCATTTACATAATCAATATCTGCCTGTGCTTCTCTCCTTCTCAATTACCAATCTCACAAGCTTCAATAGTCCTATCATGGAATGCAGCTGATTCATAGAATATCCCCATAAATTATGCAAATCACATCCACATTTGCATAATTGTCACATAATTACATCAAGCATCACGTAAGCTAACTACATACCAAAAATCACGACGATCCGTCAACTGGTTCTTGAGTTATCCTCTTTTGAATATTTTCAAACAGATAGCCCTGCAGTTACAGAGCAAGCCGCTAGGGGGCTCAAACTGATGTCACTTCTTCCCCAGCACAAGAGCTACCTACCACCTAAATTTCGTCACCCTAGCATGTCTAGATCCTGAGATATCAAAACCGGAAGTTTAGCTGCAGTACCATAACAAGCCGCTAGGGGACCCAAAATCTAATCAGTTCGAGCTCTCATCAAGACCTACCCACCTACCAAATATCAAGATAATCCATCTAAGCTTTCTCGAGATATGCTGTTGACACACACACAGACAGACAGACACTCACACGGCCACGAAAACATAACCTTCTCCAATTCTTGGCGAAGGTAATGAGAAGAACAGGCCACTCAGCGAAATCACAAACGAAACAGGCGGTGCTGCAGGGGTAACTTTCCTGGTCAACGCTTTCAGGTTGTAATTGCTAACCGTACAGATCAATCAAACATCATCCACCATTTCATATTTCTATGCCGTTAAAATGAAGTCGATAAAAGGGGAGTTTCGAGCGAACTTGACGCCTGGAGGGGCCGGTGTAGGCTAATAAATTCAAGCACAGTCGTTAGGCCACAACAAGTGAATTTTATGGATGACATCCTCCGCAGACTCCAAATCTAATGCGATACGGCGAAAAAAACAAGGCGGGCAAAAAAAACAAGATTTCTATATTTTCAAATTTTAAGATTATAAACCTTGTTAAACAATATTTTTTTTATTCAGCGGCAACATCACATTTAAAGGAATGGAATACAACACTGCAACAAAGTAAAAGACAAAACATGAAATCAGAGCCTTGTCTTCTCCTCTCTTCACATTTTCTGTCATCCAAGTTCCGGCATGGCAACAGACATATTTAAGCATTTTTGGCATGTTGTCCACTGTTAAAGGGCAACCAAATTTCTGGTATTTTTTTCCAAAATCAGGCGAACATCGTTGATGTCATCCATGAAAATTACTTGCTGTGGCCTTAGCATGCTTCCTGACCAATGTCAGTCAAGTCCTACTCTGTAAAATTGCGACTCTGGAGCGGGGAGAGAGAGTTATCTATCACTGTTTATCTTACGTTTCATGTTTACGGAATGAGATTCAATTTCTTATCTCAGACAGCTAAACAGACAGAAATGACGTGCGTTCAAATTGTGTTTGTCATGTTAAATCTATCATATGTAATCACTCGTATATAAGATGCGAGCATGTATATCGTTCTCTACAAACACGGTGTACAGCCCTTTGTGTGACAGTGGCTGGCTGGCTAATAACATACTATGATATCTAACTCGATTTCATAGCTCGTTGGACACTCGTAGATATGCACAAGAAGTACAAAGAATAGTGATTATAAGCAGAACAAACTTTCTGACTTAAGATGTACATGTATATACTATCGTTAGTTCTGTTCCAATAATCAATTGCATGCAAGATTCGGCAAGGTGAACAAGGCTTTAGTGGCGTAATCACTATTTAATGGAATAATTTCAAGGATGATAAAACAAAATTTACAACAAAATTACTGAAATATTTTGCCCGTATCTATGCACTTGTTATTTGTACTAGGTATGGTTGAAGGATTTATCATAACCTACTTTTACATCAACATTGGCAATGACATAAATGTGTTATATGGCAGAGCTAATACGATTTTCGAAAGAGAAGACGTAGTTGTATTTAAGATATTGAAAGGTGTATGAAATATTACATTCATGCTGTGTAATCACACTATTAACTCTATGCGGGATCGTAATATCCCCATTTCTGCGCATTTCACGACAGGATCATGAGAAGATTAAATGTGTAGATTTGATACAGTAAAATGTCTTCCGCAGTGAACTCGAGTGAACAGAATTAATCTGATTGTGTTATCTCTCTGTGTGCACTTACCGTACCTGTACAAGCACTCCCGCGACGTGAGTCAATCTCTCTTTATCGTTCCCGCCAGCACCCAGGCCTGGAGATTCCACAGAATGCCGAGGATACATCCCATTTATCGTATCGAAGGAACAATTACAATACAGGCCGACCAATGATATAATTGGAACAGCTCAGGGGAAAGTTAAGAGGGGGTGTTGATGGTGATCATGTATCTATCCCGCGGTGTTTCCTGATCGATCTTCCCATTTTTGTGAGGAGGATTTAATCTATAACTACGCAGTGCTCACCAGAAGGTGATTTCATCGGAGATGATAATGATCAATATGATTCTTCCTATAACTTTTTTAAAATTCATTTCAACTGAAGGCTGTGGTTATATATACGTATCGTAATTGAGGTAATTGGTTAGTAGCAAGTTTTTGACAACCTCTATTTATCCAAACGTCTTGGCAGACGTTAAAGAAACGACACGGTTAATCAGACCCTCGGCGCCCGGTGTAACCAACCGCGATATATCATTATTTCTGGCAAATAAACCAATATTGCCATGTTTGGAAATTATAGTATTGATTTAACCGCAATAAACCTTACTGAGGGATTTTGGAAATTACCGCACACATGCTGTTTTTCTTCGATCGCACTCAGAATTGCACATATAAATACTATATTTTCATTTGTCGTCGAGGCTAATTACCATATGGCACACTGATTATAGTTTGATTGCACTGTGGATATTCAGTCTCACCCCTACATAAATATAAGATGGTACAGTCTCAGTGACGTTAGAGCCTTTATAGTGCTCTCAAAGGTAGCTGTTGCAGATTTGAAATTTAGGATCAATGACGAATGGCTGCGAGACAACGATGAGGGGAAGGAGAGATTGATAAGCCCAATGTCAGGAGCAAGGCACGCTGCCCCCGCCTGGGAAGACGGTCGTGCTGACAGGTGAAGGCGTCAGTACAGGTTAGCTGGACTGCCGGTCTGCTGTACTGTGCTGGCTGACAGAGAGAAGGGGACGTCGTGGGGAGCCAGCTCCTGTCCTGTAGTTACTTCTTGAGGTGTAGGTAGATTTGTACTTTTCAGTGCTCGTACGTGGCCCGACCGCTGTGCTCCTCAATTACGCTTTCTCAGTACAAGACGTGTGCTGGGTGATAACAGAGACAGCTGCCATCCTGTTGTTTTCTCTTCAAGAGGGTTATCTCCACGCACAATCTGCTGCCGCAACAAAATTTACGACATCAAACATTTTGATGGTAGCGTTTTTCACAGCTGGAGAAGGTTTTTTATCTTACGTCTGGATCTTCCTGTTCTCGGCACGGGCCACACGTCGTGATTTACTAGTCTATGGGTCATCAACAGAGCTGCTGTCTCAAGACAGGTGATCTATGGCCTCTTAAGATAAAAGGCAAATCTGGGACTGCTTGAAATCCTCTTGCCGGATGTTGGCCACGGGCCATGTCATATGCTTTGGTTAGCTCCCATTGATAAGCAGGACACAGTTTGCTTACATCCTGATTCTGTAAAAATGAGCGGAGAGATTGTGCTGGTGTGGACGGCCCTCTTGTTGATCCAGACGGCTGGGGCCACGGTGTCCGACGGCGAGCAGGGCAACAGGAGCAGCATCAGTCCCGATGTTGACATCGTGGACAGATTCTTGCAGTACGTCGAAGACGTCGAACGAAACAAAGACAACTGTTCTGCGGGGACCTCGCTGAATCTGGGGGAAGGCGTTGTGCTCGACTATGGCAGGAAACGCTTCCGTCCCCAGGCCATGGTGGCGGTTAACCGCGCTAACTTCCTCACCCGGCTCTGGAAGGACAACATGCCCAACATTGTGGACTCCGAAAGCTTCTTCTTCGAGGCGGTAAGATCGATGGTGGAGGCGGACGGAGCCTTGTTTGGTGCCGGGAACTGTTACGCGGAGTGGGAGTTCCGGGATCATCGACTCTTCTGTCCGTACGCCTACAGAACGGAGGACGGCAGGATCAACGTGAAGGATCTGTCCGTGGAGTATGATTACACGGGAGAGGAGTCAGAATGGTTTTACGAGGTCAGGAAGAACGCCATGGAGAGGAGCAGGGGAAACGTTACCATAGGTAAGTCATGATTCTACATGTACCACCCGTGGCGGTAAGGGGACCTGTGAATTTGAATCATACAATATCATCGAGTTTGCCCTGTTCAGGCCACTGTGATGCTACCTCAATATTTCTTAGTCATTCTCACACGTATATCACCCCACATGTCATCATTTGGGTAAGACGGTAATATATAAAGCATTCAAGTATCGACAAGCAATCAACAGAGACCGGCCAGAAACGCAAATTATTAATTGCTCTTGCCCATCTAGTAATTAACTTTTGATTGTTTCACATATTGATTTTTCTAAGATGACGTTTATTTCTTCGAATTGTTGCCGAATCGATAGTGTTGATCAGACCACGATGTTTAGCGCTGAATCATTCTATCTGACACATTCATCGCAAGAATTGCTCCGTAATTACACATAATGGCATCGGTTGAGTGCTGAGCTCTGTTTGGTGACCACGCTATGAATTTTGATTACCCAATGAAAGGAAGTTTGGGTAGATATTGACCTCATTCTGTCCTTGGAAATGCAAGAAGGTACAGCGGCTGTTATATATCTGCCTGTACATGCAGCTATACTTTCACCTTGACATAGAAATCAACACAGCATATCCAATCAACCTTGGGAGTCACATAACCCTTATCACGAGAAAGGTAACCCAATTTTTCAAACCGAGTGGATCGATTTTATTCATGTCGTTGATATATGACAATATCCGCGTAGTTTGTCATATAAAAATGAGAGAAATTGGAGTGGACATGTTCGTATCATCGAGTCAGACCGATACGTACGTTAGAATGCCGGTTCTGTTACCCCCTTTATCAACAATTCATTCACCGTCACGGCCACCCAAAAACTCTCATGGCGTCAAATTGATGTTCGTCTTACATATGCCATTATCTCGCACGTAGGTCATCTCATTTACTGTCGAAAAAACCTGGCATGTGTTAAAGATATATTGCCAACGACATTTACTGAATTCTCAGAAGACCACGTAGAAACTGTTTATAGTCTCTGAACAGTCGTAGTTCAGCACGTATGTGTGGTGTCTGTCAGGGGAAACGTACTAATGCATCTCCACTGCACCTGCCGATCCTATCGCTGTGTGATAATGTGAAACATGAATTACCTTGTAGGATACCAGACAGGAGGTATCAGTCCTCTCTACTTAGCTCCAGCTGCGCAAATACAGTATTGGTTTGGCACAGTACCAGTTAAAGTTGCGCCATTCTCATATTTCATGGGTTACATGTACTTGTATCCATTCTCGCAAGTAAAAAAAGGATACGAAATGGACTTTTACATGCGCTTTCCTTTCATGGTCACTTAGACTAACCAAAGAAATCAAAGCAAAACTAATGTCTCCTAAAGTTTTCAAAGACGACGGGACACTGGAGGATCTATGCGACCTCCCGCACCGATGACTACAAACTAGCATTTGATAAGTTCTCCCACAGATATCTTGACAAATACTGCTATTAGGAGCGCGATGTCGCTGGAAATTGTCTTCAAAGCGCCCTATTCATTATACTGCGAGCTGTAGCATACTGCGGTTCCACGGGTGGATTGTGTCAATTTGTGAGGACACTTGACAGATAGTTGCACTTACTACACAAACTGATCGTATGTTTCACCCGTTTTGATCTTATTATTTTCTATTCTATTTTAGAACCGACAGACGCTAGCTATAACGAACAATTACTATACCATCTGTTTCAAAGTGAGCATGCATTTCCACTGATATGTACTTTATCATTGACTCAATATACCATTAAAAGAAAAGGTTAAAACTGGTTTGAATATTAATGAAATTGTATGCTCTGCATGCTTTACGACATTTATCGTTTTCCATGGGAACCATTTAGTAGTTATAACGTGAGTACGCTCAGCGCCACCCTGGCACCAATGCCTCATACGTGCGCGACATGATGAATGATTGCAGCAGATGAGTTGCTCAAGTGCCTTTATCGGCCCCTGCACGCCGCCTATGTCGTTGGGGCGGCCGGTAGAAAAGGTTAATGCTTTACCCTTTCAGGGGTGGGTAGTTATTGACCCCGTTACCTTCACTGAGCTGTCATCTGAGTTTGAACGGCTTTCTTCCCAGCTGGCATAATTGCCTGCCTCAGAGATAAGACGAAGGCCAAGTAGAATTGGTAGGACGTGCCGCATTCACGGGTAAAATATTGGTTTTGGTTCATATATTTTGTGGGCGAATAATCTTCCACCAGTGATACATCTATGTCATATGTTAGTTTTTTCAGCGTCATATAGCGTTCTTGCAAATTGTTCTAAAACCAGATAAACTATTTGTGACCGGTATGTAACTTCTTATAAAAAAGATCAAGCCATAATTCTTCGTTTGAAGTCTCCATTCTGAGCAATTTTGTCCAATGTCCCAGAGGAAAGTAGTCCAAATAAAATGTACCTTTCCCCCCTTATTGAGCGGTCTGTCCAAGGTGGTGCACTTTTCGTGTCATCTTCATTATGTATGTAGCAGATTTCTACCTTTAATCCAGTTTCTAATTCAACAAAGACTTCTTACTGACTAGAAATCTATATTGTCGAGTCTTGCGTCCGGAGCCAAATTGCATTACACATTGATTTTTCATGATGTCTATTTCTTACATGTGAACTCAATCAATGTAACCTAATTAGAAGCAAACAAAGTCACTGAAACTTCAAATGTTGAGTAAACACACATATTCCTATCGGTTTTACCTCAACATCACTCATACGTGCGCGACATGAAAGGTAACAAAAGTCATGTGCATTTCAGATAACATTCAAATATGTCTACCAAGCTCGATTAAAAAAACAGTTAAACTTAAAGGCATTCAATGCAATGTCATAGTGGTAAAACAAAAAAATATCCTGGATGAGGAAATAAGTCTGATATTGATATTTACTGCAAGCTCTTAGTATATTTCGTCATTTCATACCTGAAGCGTTTGAAATAACCTAAGAACAAGCTATGTGATGTGTCTCTATTTTTGTACCACTCATAATTAGCTAGAGCCAGGTTACGATGCAAAACAAGCAACCGACATCCGTCAGTGACGTCGCATGTTTGCCTCACAGATATCAGTATGCAATGTTATTCATGAGCTAGGATTTACTCAACTTACTACATTAAAAGAACGACCAGCAAATTGGCCTTGAAAATCCAGTTTTGCCTCCTCCCCGAAATTGCATTAGGTGCCTTTATTTAACGTAGTTAGTCAATATACAAGAAGAAGTTTAGAACACATCTCCGTTACTCCGTCACGGACTTGAGCTTTTTTCAGGGCAAGACACGGATCTTTGAAAATACCTTTCAGTCCAGATCACACTATTCCCGTACAATTTCTGTCACTCCTGAGAGCTTGGAGACAGAACCGATCACATGAAATTACGATCTTGATAGTTATAAATGGGCCATCTGGGCCAAGTGGACGGATTATCATTCGGAGCAATTACTGACCAACGGGAGGAAGATAAACTAAGTGGGACGCTAAATCATTTTTCATCCGTGGTAATTGGTAGTGAGTTGGTGGCCTGATCTTTCATACGGGGACAATACATGTGCATAACAGTGTGGAATAATGTGTATTCAAATCCCATCATGATGATGCATTTGATATGAAGTGATCCGAGGTATATATATGTAGAGGAGCTTTACCTATTCAGCTATTGCTGCAAAGCCGATTTGTTATTTGTTTATCAATAAACCATTTACTAGTACTACTTTATCAATAAACCATTTACTACTACCTCTTCAGAACATTTATCTTTACTGTTCCTCATTGTGTGAAACGAAAAAAAAATACTCTGTAAGCAAAATGCGATCTGGCAGGACTTTATAGGTGCAGTTTCCAAAGCCAGACGTACCATTGCAAATCTTGTGACCGTCCGTTCGGGTAAGTCCAAAAGTATATCGTTGATCGATTGCCGCGAGACTGCATTGCACCCAAGGGTATCTTCTCCGGATTGGCTGTGTACTTTGACTAATTACATCTGATGTGATGGAAAAACGTGATTGCTAAACCCAAGTCCCTGGTTCTTGATACGCTAAGACCGGATTTCATCACTGATTCCCCCCATATCTGCGATGAAGGACACTATAATCAGACGTACTCATAAGTTATTTACCGATTCGTCCTCTTTACCTGTTGTAGCTATCGTTTGATGAAGGTCGCTAGAGACGAAGCTCGTAAAAATGACCACCGTCAATCTGGGGCAGCCATGACGAAGTAATAAGCAGGTCGACATCGGATGCTGCAGGCGTTAAATAATGAATGAAGCAAACTCACTGCGTATTTCAATAGTAATTGGAATTGTGAGAAGAGATAAGACATAGTTTTCCCCCAATGCCGCCTTTTGAGCAAACAATTACAAGTTTACCCACGTGTATTCTGACTGGGTCTGTAAAACGATATACCACGATATTGAAGGGACCGGAACCGCGTCGAATATAGCTACACTTCAATGTAGTAGTAAAGCCATTGTCATCATGGCATGCATTAGGTAAATTGAGGCTTCAGTCAGTAAGGACCCAAGCTCTGATTCAAGTGTACATCAGGGAGTATTTGGGTAATCTAATTGTAAAGCATAAAATAGCACCCATATCTGTATATGCATCGGATAGGAAGGGAACTTGATCATCTCCTAAATCTGATTGCTACTAGAAATCTGCCCATTCAATCTTCCCAATCAAAAATAATTAACACAACAGCTTTGTGGGCAACTTGTTGTAAATGAGATTTGTAACAAACATCATGTCTGATTGATAGGGGTTGGGCTCTCCTATGAGCGATGAATGTGAAACAGCTAATGCCGTAGTTATCCATCTAGCCAGAGGCCAGCTGAAGTTCACGTCGCGGTGCACTAGATATTGTACCGTACGCACAACTCACACCACTCGTACATGCGTCACGGTGTCAGGGATTACACCCATGTAAAAACTTTCTACATCAATTCACATAAAGGCTATACGGTCGAAGTTACTGTTGCTACTAACGGGCGAAGTTTTAGACGTCAATGGCATTACCATCATAATCCTTCCTACAGTCGGATCAAAGGTCGCAAAGGCAGCTGAAGGAGCACAATTGTATATCACACAATACGTACTAAACATGCATATATATGGCCGTGGGAGCCTTCTGGTAAAGGACATAAAAAGTTAGAATGTTGCTAAAGTTGCACGCTAGGATGAAGGTTTCGTCAACGCCTGGCGTACTTTCACATTTTTGTATCAGCTCCACTTTGCCGTATTGCTAACGACTGACATGGTGACTTAGCTTAAAGTGCTTTCCCAGGCTAATTTTGGCCTATTCATACACAGAAGCCTGGGCATTACGTTTAATGGCACATTTTGAATCGTTTACGATACAAACGACCCACCAAAGCAGCAATATCTTCACGAGCGCATGGCGCACCCCATCATGACTATAATTGAAGTTGGTAATCTTTTTAAGCTAGGTAAATTTATGATGTAAGAACCTGGTCAAGGAAGATGGTTGAGGGTAAGAAGTAAAATAAATATGTCAGAAATGGGCACAAGAAACCACATTAAGAAAGTACATAAAACAGCTACAAAGCGGCTCTTTACTCTTCCAACCAAGCAAGGGTAATGTAGGGGCTACTATAAGTTTGGCAAGTCAAGTGTGCCAAAATGCAATTAAACTTAGAAATGTAGTGGAACTCTCTTGGCTCCATGGTAATTTCGAAGAGAATATCGTGTCCAAAACAATGAAAATCCCCTTCAGGTAATTGGGGACTTGCCGAGGCACGTATTACCCGTTCCACTTTAGTTTTAACTTGTTCTGGCAGGTAGCCAGGTGGTAAGGGAGTCTCATAAGTAGCCAGATGGTAAAAGAGCATTATATTAGATCGAGGATGTTCCGGGTAATAACGTTACTGTACAGCTGTAATTCCCGCTTAGTTAAGGCAATATTGCTTTAGATAGCTCACAGTAGACGCAATGAATATAATTTCCGCTTAGTTAAAGCAATATCTCTTTAATTATAGCTCACAGTAGATGCAATGAATATCTTTAGATAGCTCACATTAAATAGCTCACAGTAGATGATCTTCTGAAAACACAAAGAAGATCTGCTGGCCATGTTCATGAATAGGACAAGAGTATACCTGGATCACCCTAAGGTCAATGTAGGCACTGAGTGAAACGTCACACGCAGCGTTGAGGAAAGTTGCTATCTATCCTGGCACAGATCCTCAGGCCATTTAAAACGGAATGTATTCTACATGTCATATACCTCCGGGTACGGTACGACATGACTGGAAACTTAAATCTTGGGACAAAATGTCGGCAGCTTGACCTACGAACGTCTGTTCAGCAATGTTACAAGATAATGCACTGTGGAAATTGGCAGATAAATATTCTAACAGCCAGTTGACTAGACATGCTGGCGTTTGAATGTCAGGTGTGACAGGTTATTCAAGTTCAAGCCATTTCGTTTGCTTTTGTTCTTCATGCAGGGTGGTAGTTTCCATTGTAAACCTTTTTTCTCTGGGCGAAGGTTATCGTAATCAAGTATTACTCAGTAAAATGGAACGGCCACGGTTTGTGTGTGATGTGCCCTTGACCTGTTTGTATATCATATATCATGCCGTGTCGATTTATTCTAGCTTTGGGTTCTCATCAAGTTATGGTTTATCATACGGAACTGATTGTGCCTTCGCTGGACATGGCTTTAGCCTACGTTAGACCTCTCCCTACAAGGACATCTTCATCCAGATAGTTCTACATTCATTGTGATATATGGGGCTATATCGTGTATTCGGCGATAACACATTCAATATTGAATGCATATTGTCCATTGCCGTATGTCTCTAGATCTCGGCCAGAATCTCCCCACATATGTACACAGCGCGCCTCCGCTTAAGACACATCATTTCACGTTAAGAAGAGATCGATCTTTGGCTGCCGTGGCACGGGCACCTAGTCCATTTGCGTAAGCTAAGGGGATTTAGCTGCTGAAAGAAAAGGAAAGCAAGACGAATTACAGCATAAACCTAATCTTTCGCGCCGTGTAAAGAGAGGTCTATAGGGAATAGCGAGACTTCTGGTTACCAGGGTAAGGGCGTCTGCATGATGCTATGATATTGGAGGATTATGGAGTCTTTGTGAACGTAATCAACTATTGATCAAATCATACCTGACTCGTCATAGAGTAACGAGATTCTTGGGTAATCTGATGACTGCATGTCGCTGAAAGAACTGTTTCTGTTAGGCCCCTACCTTGTAAGAGTTTATAGGGACTAAAACAGAAACAGTTTTGCGTGCAACATCGACGACAAGCAATTCATGTTGATACAATCATATAGCACTGATAATTTGTAGAACGTGCTCAGAATAATGCTTGGTGTGAATAGACCCAATAGACAAACTCTTGAATTAGTTTGCTTAATCAAGCATATCTTTATAATAGTACTAGTTTGGATATAACGATAATTTATTATGCTTTGCGGATCCATTTTAATTAGAGAGTGCTGTCAACAAGCGTATTTTTCACAGGAACACAATTATCCCTTTAATCCTTCCATCTTACGTGCTCATTACCTGATAATGATTTACATAGATAATCTAACAAGACAGGATCCTTGTTAAAACACCGTTCGTCTGGTGTATGTGTTATGATTCAAGATTATCGAGTGGAAAATTAAGTTTAACATATTACAAAGTGGGGGCCCGGGGAGATCGTGGCATGATAATAGTCCTATAATTCCATATTAATACAACTAATTATAAATCAAAAGACTTCTTAGTAAATCTTGTTCACTTCTGGAAGGTCACACGTCGACAATTTTGCATGGTAACACTTACTAACTTGACAGTTTCTTGACAGATCGTATACAGTCATATAATGAGGCATAAAATACATTTTACTTATAAATACTGGTGCAATATTGTGGCAATATCCGAGTAATTTCCGCGTCTCAAGAACAGGAATGCCCAGCATCGTTCACGTCAAAAGACCTGCATGCTTGAATAAGTCACAGAGCGCTCTGAGAGGCGCAGATGAATATGGCAGGCAACGTCGCAGAGTGCCAAACTCATTTAGCCTCACTCAATCACGCAGTCCTTTGATTGACCAGCCAGACAGTTGTACAGCCCATCAGACGTCCTAGCGCAATACATTACTACTGTCCTGATTGTCGTACTGCACAGAAATAAACCCCTGGCTGAACGTGTGAGCGCTAGGTCGTGCCTCCCTTGCTGACCAAACATGCCATTAACGTCTAACTGCTTGTCTTTGAGGTTCTATCGATTGACGGGTTTCTGCTGCTGTGTTTTCGTCACGTCCTCAATATGGGAAATGGAAAATCAACAGGTTACCGTAACGACTGTGCTTCAACTGTAAATTTCCGAGGAATTATAGTTAGATAGATAGATAGATAGAGTCGTTTTAAGATAGTTTAACGTGTCCTTGATTGTAGTTTGTAACCACATATCTGTCCAAGGTAGACAAAATTCATGACCGCCATCTTTGTGTAGGCTGTTGATTTACAATGATTGTAAATGTACTTGTCGTTGATTCACTATTCTATAATTGCACAGAAGATGGTGTACGTACATGTTATATGTATAAGGCAGTAATTTGTAGCATCAGGGGAAATTATCTTAATATTTGTCGCATCTTATCTTGCTCACAACCATCCATAATGAATCGCAGTAATCTTCCTAAAACCGATAGTTAATTGCCTTCATCGTGATTTCAAATACATCAAAATACATCATCTTTCTAATTGCCTGAATAGCACATTCATCATCGGAATAGAACATTCATTTAAATGACACATAAATGTTAATGTAACCATAGTGTTGTCGAACTTAGATAATTCCCACTGCATCATACTTATAACCTCATATAAGAGTGTCTGTATAAGAATATTTATGAAATCTACTTATGACATAAATATTGATAAACGATGTTCGATTTTTGTTTGTTTTTTGTTTGTTTGTTTGTTTTGTACAGGTCTGTTCACACAGAGATACAACACCACAGCTCATGCGGAGCCGGTAGAAGATTCGTCCCTGCTGGTCAGCTACGAGGACGGCCATTGGAGCCTGCCGTACTTCGACTGCGGAGGCGGTAACATATGGATGATGACCTTCACTGTGCCCGTCTTTGGATACAGAAACGACAGTTACTACTTCAAGTAGGTGCTGTGCTATGTTCGTTGGGATAGATGGAACCTTTGTGTATTTATGAATAGATAATCCTGTAGATGTAATGAGTTGATAACTTTGATTTTAAAGTCCTTATCTTATGTAGCTTATTGCCCTTCTTTCCAGGGTTATCCCTTTAAAATAGTCTTGTAAAACTAGTTGGGCAACCCTGTCTGTCTTTTGTACAGCTGAACCAATAACATAAAATGAATGAATAGATAAAAACATTTTTGTCAGTGTTGCATCAAGACTGGAAAGTAGCTGCCAGCAGCATTCTAGCTGGTTTATGGTTTCTAGAGTAGATGATTTGCAGCCAAAACTATCTTGTCTTTGGATTCATTGTACGTTTACATGATTATTGTTCACTCAGTTTTGTGCTGACCCACAAAGCCCTCTAAATAGCAGGTACGTTAGATATTTATATTGTATGAATGTCGGTAATACTGAAAGTGTAAAATGATTATCCCGTTGTTTTCACATCATAGGGCCACGAGTGGAATCGACATTGACCTGCGACAGGTAGATGTTAACCAGTGTGCCGATATGTCTGGAGAAGAGAGGAACGTTTTTGCTAATTCACACAAGTGCAAGCGAGATACTACAAAGGTACACTTTCCATGTGACGATAATATATGTTATATTCTAGGCTACCTTAACTTGTGTCAGTACCTTGGTGACTTCTATAAGTCCTTACGAGCGTCTATGTATATTTCCGTGTCGATAAAGAATTCTCATTCGTCTGCGCTGCCTGAACATGGCTTCTAAAATTTTGAAGCAACTTGTTGAATCAAAAGGATCTTACAGTGATGTCCGTCTCGTTGCACTGGTTGCTAATAGTACGTTGAATGTGGAAAGGGCATAGCGTTGTCATCAGCAATGACCTACATGTACAATGACCTAGTGTACCAACACATCTGCTTCTGTAACCGTAACTTTGTTGTTCTTTGTTAGTGTGTACCTATCTCAGGGCTCGGCTTCAGGGTGGGGTCCTACCGCTGTGAGTGTAAGAAAGGCTTCTACTTTCCGGACACGACCTCTTCAACACCCTATTACAACGGAACGGACGTCGAGCAGCACTACAAGAGCAAGAAAAGCGGCGTCACGAATGACTACGATAAGTCCTTCTCATGTCTGCGATGTAGCCCTGGGTAATCAAGAGTTCAAATCCTCATAAAAACATTGATATGCTATCTCTGATTTTTCCTTTGAAAAAAAAATCAAAACGATAAGATGTATTGCCATAGTAAATCGGTGGATTCCGGTAATGAGCGATACGCTTAAGCCATTGAGATAAATATTTGTATATCTGAAATGACAATACCTATTCAATCTCTAATCACATCTCTAATACATCGCCTGTTGTATGTAGTTGTGACGAATGCCTGGATGACCGCCCATGTATCCTGGAGTGGGACTGGACACTGCGTACCGGCGTGTTGGGTGCACAGGTGCTGATAGTCAGCCTCATCATCCCCGTACTGCTCACGTTCACGTTCAAATACGCCGACGTCAAGGTGAGGTCACATGGAAGATAACATATTGTATAACATGAAGAAATATTTTATGTAGGTATCTGGCTATGTGGCAAAATACATAAATAAAAAAATCGATACTGTTGCTTTATGACCTTTCCTACATGTACGTTGCATTTAGCCTATAAGATTCCCTTATCTATACGTATCATTAGAGAATGCTAGAACTTATATCAAATATTTAAGATGCAGATAGAGCTTGTTTTAGTTTAACTGGGTCATCAGCTCTTGTTACTTGTTATTCACGCGTGATGCTGCTTATCTCTTGGATGTAATCAAGGTAAATCCGGTAGTACTTCTAAATCAGTCATACGGCACTTGCTCACGGGTAATGGCGCCCTACATATTCAAGGTAACACCCGACATGACAGATCACTGCACAGTACAAAGTCTTCTAGCTTTTTGGTCTTGTCCTCATTATCTAAATGGAATCTTCTCCACACAGATTCATCAGGCACACAACTTCATAGTCTCTCTTAAAGAGGAGTTTCCATTAGCAGCATCATTCCAAGCGTGTTAACACAGGCGTCCGCCCGCCCACACACAGAGGATAAGCCCTTCATCAGTAGCACTTCCCCACCTCCAAAGTAATCTCAATAAAAATTAGGGAGTGTCACATTAGTCGCCAGCATTCGCGGGAAAAACATCGTGCCACTTAGATATGGCCTTGGTTGAAGATAGCTACTTTCATATCATATTCAGTGCTCTTAAATCCATTAGCTTGATGGGTTCTATTGTTCTGGTGAGTTTATCGTTTTTGGAAGAGTGTGACTGATATACTATAGCTCCTGGCTAGTATCTTATGATTGTCCCATTCCGTGAAAGCTAGAATCTGCTAGAAATGCGCGAAAAATATAACTTATCTTGTCTAGGCACTTACAACATATTTATCCATTTTCGGCATGTTGACACTGTCAGAGGGCAAAACAAAGTCTTTTTTTCCAAAGTCAGGCAAAAATTAATACGCGCGATGATGGCATCCATAAAAATTACCTGCTGAGGCCTAACTGATGTTATTCTTAATGAATGGTTCATTTCCTTTCCGTATACCATGAGAGACGAACCTGAGTGCCATCCCATTAATCGCCGCATGCTTTCGAAGATCGTGTCGCATATATGCCCTACATTACGGCTGCTCTCGAGTTAAGCTTTACACACAACACTCTATCAGACGGGAATCGGTTAAACATGTCTCGTGCTTCCAGTGTTCCAGAGTACTGATTTTGTCCCTCTGGGGAGGATTTGAAATGACTTTGATAAACATTAGGTGTCTCAGCTGGCAGATGGAGAATCGCACTAATGATAGCCGACGGCTGTAGTTACACCTGTTACCATTCCAATCCTGGCACGATACACAATTCACAATTCTTAAGAGACATTAAAGGCTCTTTGTTCTAACCCCAAGCCATCATCGCGTGCAAGTGAAAAGTTCCGGACTATAGATTTTAAGCGTCAAGAAGTCTCTTATTAGTAAGTAAAGCTGAACACTAAACCAGGAACAATCGTATCTAGGTTTTCAACGGAGACTTGATGGTATTTGCAATTCAAGTATTAGTTTTCCCGCTGGAAAAAGATGCATCTGGTGATCATGATATACTTGAAATCATATCTATCATTAATGCACGTAAGCAATCGATTTGTATTACAAAGGCTGAGATATAGTCGTGTATGTTTAAGACTACCAACGGATAATACCAAACAGATCATAAGAGTTGTGTGACGCATGGGTAGCTCTGTCTTCACTATTGTAAAGTCAGTGACAAGACAGTCTTCAAATCCCTTACACGTTTAAGACTCCACGCCGTCCCCTCGCTCGTGATCCCGCATTGCCAAAGTTGTTGTACCGTAGTATTTATCGCACCATGCATCTGTGAAATTGATGTCTATAGATCACATTAATGACAGCCCAGAGAGTATACAGTAGCCCATGCGTAACCTTGATCTCCAATCACACAGCTGCGACCGTTTTACACTAGCGTATAGCACAGTACATGTACCATGCGATGAGAAGTAGGCGATATATAAGACATCAGTTTAACGACAATTTAGCTCCTGAGATTACTTTTGCGTGTTTTTTTTATATTTCCTCTCAGGTATTGAAGGCTGCGAGTCCGGTACTACTGCGGCTCGTGCTCCTGGGAGCTCTCCTTCTCTACTGCCCGGTGAAATGTCCTGTTTTATACCGCTCGTTTCTGTGGTTTACTCTGGGGAAGCCTGTTTGTTCCACCCATCATACACAAATGCTAATGTTTGCGGACACAAACTTTGTCAAGACCTAGTATGAAAATGAAAACTGTACATGTCCCTCTTCTTGCTGAAGATCAATTACCTGCTTCTTTAAGAATATATAGCATCTAAGATACAATGCTTTACAGGACTTTGTATGATGCTTGCTGCAGTTGTATTTTGCACACAAAATACGAACACGCCTTTTTGTAGTAATTGAGGGAGGCTTTTTCTATTGTTTTATCTAATCCTCTTGACCGTCACATTACCACTCCTAACGTCCGTACTCAGGTTCTGGTGGCTTACTCTCCGCCCACTGTCATCACCTGCACACTCAAGTCGTGGTTCCGGGAGGTGGGCTTTGCCGTGGCTTACGGTGCTCTGCTGCTGAAAACATGGAGGTACGTGAGCGGAATACTGTCCCAAGAAATATTACACACTCACACATACAGCTAAATGAGGGTGTTATTCTACGCTTCAGGCACCGCCACTTCCCATTATGTGTGAAACTTTCCTGCCCTTAGGAAATTGAAGTCAACGTTCTAAAAGCTAAAAGACCTCCGGCTTAGCTTAAAGACGACTTATCGGAGAAGGATTTTTCATTTTGACGACCATTGGCTTCTTTGGTATATACGTTACATTTGCAGTTGCGATCTGACCTCCGGCTAGGATATAATGTAAAGTGCGACTTGGAAGTGTATATCTATGTTTAGGTGATGCACACTTCTTGGTGGTCTAATGGGCAAACCCCCGGTTGTTCTTTCAAAATCTGATTTCAAGGGCATAAGTTTCCTCTCTCAGTCTTATCTTAAGTCACCACATACAAGCGCTGGTGAACAGCATGCTGGGTAACGGCATTTTTCAAAAGATCAATTCGTGTTACAGATCTGTCGGAAGAAACTATTTTCGTGAAATGAATAGCTAGCTCGACGAGACTTCTCTTGTAGCCATGGGTGGACCGACGAATAAAGGGATTCATAGCTCGATAAAGCGAAGCTATCTAAGTTGCCAATCATTTTCTGCTATATATAGAGCAGGATATGCATTGGCGGGCCGGAAGCTGTTCTGATGTCTATCTTCCAGTTTATGTCTGGATAGAGTCAAGTCAAAAGATATTCATTTGAAAGATCAAGAGGTGCAATAGTACACGAAGTCATCCTAGACTTGGTCTAATGTCCAATCCAATGGAAAGAAAAATATTATTTGTGCCAAAAATAACGTTGTACCAAAGAATTACGCACGTACTATGATGAGATCACGCTTGACGAATGAATACTGACGCCCTTCCCGCCCCCAATAAGGACTAAATTACGGCCTGTAAGAACTCTTCAATGGGACTGAGGGCTTAAATGGATGTGTCAGTACAAACCACCAACAGATGCAATTTTGTAAGAGCAATTCTGGGCCTATCAACGGTGCAGAAAGATACCTTATATTTGGTTACCTTATTTGATTAGAGGAAACTGAGTTGGTACTTTAGATCTCGTCAAAACTTGTTGCGTTTTTTGAAGAAAAATGTCATAGTGTAGAATTCATTGAAATTCGTCAATATTTCATGTTCTTCCATGATCCTCGGGGGCCCTACTTTACTACTTGCCATACGTCTGCTATGCTAATGACAGCATTACCAGCAGATAGCCGACACTGGGCTGATGGTTCATTTTCAGAAGAATCTCTATCATTCTTTGTACCAAAAGAAGCAGTAGTGTGGCATCTGCTGCACTTTAAATCGATATCGATGGTCAAGAAGTCAAGAAATGCGTGAATGGGATCCGGATCTTGAACAAAAACACATTTCGCTAGTAAGTCGATGACCGTGACTTTGATTTCAGGGGTGTTGTAGAGGCCTGAACATTGATTTTAAGGGCGCTATGAAAGTCTGATAAATTCCAATAGCTACCCATAATCATTACCAGGTCAGCTAAATATGGAAATATATTTTGAGATTTGGCTGCAATAAATGACAGACATACGAATGGGCACTTTTTTGAAATTGCATTTATTGATGATATTGGCGAAATGATGCTCCAGTGGATTGATTTTGAGCCAACGCGTCTTTGATTTTTATACGCATCATATGAAGTGGCGCACTGAAGTAGCAATAAAACATAGGTCTATTTTTACGCATTCTCACTGTGGGGAGTTTAAAATGCCAACGTCAGAACAATGTACTCGCCTAGTCATTGAGCGGATGGAATGACGTCTAAACTAGCCTTTTACCTTTCCACTGTGACGAAGAAAATATATTTGGACACGCTCAGCCGATACCCTTTCGGCGTTTCCACGTGGGACCACTAGTTACTGTGCTTATCATCTACATCTAAATGGACTCAAGAGGATAGTGGATTACCAGTGAAGTTATAGTTGAGTTCTGAAACTCTTACACTGTATCTCCTTAAGCTTTCCCGTGTGTGCCGTACCGTAAGCAAACTTGCATCTGTTTCTGTTGTCATTGAAACTTTATTTCTCCACAGAATCTCGGTGGTGTTCCGTGTGAAGTCGGCCGCACCAGTCCGCATCACGGACCAGGACCTGATGAAGTACCTGCTCGGCATCGTCATGATCTTCGCGGCCCACGCAGCCGTGCGCACCATCGTGGACCCCCCGCGGGTGGTCATCAACAGGGCCCGGGAGGAGCTCAAAACCGCCCAGTGTTCGTCCGACTGGTGGGATCACTCCGCTGCCATTGGTAACGTTGTTGATTCATGTAGTCTATCCCAGATATATCCGGTTATACTGAGTCCCCTTTGGACGTGTCGGGCCTACATGTTGTAAATGTCAGTCACACATCGTAATGCTTGGAATAAATGCTGTCCTAAGGTATATGCATTATATGAGGTCAAAATGGCCTTTGAAAGACTATTTTCCACCGACTCTTTTGATAGACTATCTACACAAATCTGGTAGGCATTTTACGAGTACATAACATCGCAAAGGTTTGTAATAAAATTCCTCACAAGTTACTTGTATACTATCTACTATGAATGAAAGTATATATGGTCTTTGAGACGGAATTTCGATTCCCTCACCCAGGCCTGGGCCTAGATCCACAATCATACACCATTCGGTACCATGACGTATTTTTACAGGTACATGTAAACGATGATGATATAAATTATCTCCACGTGTCACCTACACTGAACATATGTCAGCAATGACATTAGACAGCGCTTTTATCATATTAAGTTCCCGTTAACTCCTGATGCCATCAGCCGGCGGGAACAAACTGCCATCATTTCGAGGGAATAAAAGTTCATTACCGCAAGCTAATGTGACTTACATGGTCCACCGCGGTGATTAAAACCACGACTTATGACTGCAATAATGGAAAACAAAGTAGTTGCGCGTGTTATCCAATTATCGCCCTATCTAGACTGATGTATGGGATGTTTTCTGAATTGTAGGCGTCGTCAAGGTGTGCATATCAAATTCTTTCTATTCTGTATATTCTGTGTTTTTGCTCTGTTTCTTCTTCCGTTCCAAACAATGACCTTGTCAATGACCTGAACCAGACCATCTGTCACCATGGTAACTGGTGTTGGGTTACATAATGTTGCAATTTTATAGTAGGAAGAATTTAGACTCCTGATACCATATATGAATGTATTTGAGTAAGAATTAACAGAGCAGACCATATGCGAAGGTAAACATTATGCATTTGCTTTGAAAATGTTACCTGTAGCGACGCTGCTACTCTTCGGCAAGGTCACAAACAATGGCTGAAGATGTTCCTACTTGATTTCTGTCACCCTATGAGATACATATCCTAGTCATTGCTGGCACAAAGCTACTTCTTCATTGTGATCCCTGTCCTCTGCTTGACATATATTCGATAAATGGGTGTGAGTTCTACAAATAGGTTGGTCATTATGGTGACAAATGAGTCTCAAGACTCCTGTACAAGACTGAAGTTAAGCCCGTCTTGTGAAATTTCTGAATAACGTCAGTGGGATAAGCAAGCAAGCTGACACATCGCTTCATCTCACACGTGTTCTTCTTGTTACGATATATGGCATTAAGTATACCCATTCATCTCTCTATTTCTAACCTGCCAAAGACTATATAACTACGGGGTATAGCTGCTATCGCTATTCACCTTACGTACATCCGAAAATGGCGATGTTTGAGTGACTGGAATGACCAGTCATGCTCGAACACAAGAAAGGAGAAGAAATAACGTTCGGACGTGTGCCTCCCACACAAAAGATAGCGTTTTTTTATGGAAATACGTCCATCCCACACAAAAGCTAGCGTTTTCTATGGATGTAAGCTGCGATCCAGGATGTGAAAGATAAGACTTAAAGGGTTAGACATGCCTCGTAAACACGGTCGCCGAGGCAGTAGACGCTGGTGCCGCCTCTGGCCATGGCTGACTGATGGCGCCTCAATTCTGAGAGCCACCTGCTGTGTTGATAACGCGTCACTCAAATTGGCTGCCCGCACCCGACCGAACAGGTCAAAGAAAAGGTCACAGTGAAGAAGAATCACTTTATTTCGAGAGATCCCACGGGAGCCAGATTGACTATTTCCCTCTTGATTAAAAGAGCCTTTTTACGGAGTTCCGTGTTAAGACGAAGTGCTGGTCTCAGGAGAGATTTGTGGCGTCCTTCCAGCCCGAGGCAGTTTTATTCCACACTACAGATCCTTCACCACCCTGAAAGTCCCCTGACACTTTACCAGCGAGTGCCATGCACTCAAAATGGCAACTTCAAACGACATCGTAAAGTAAACATGTAATCTCCGGAGTCCGAGTGTTCTGGACTTATGACACTGATGCTTATGGTAATAACATTGAGGAGTTAAGTGTTTTTGCAAAGTATAGAGAAACCACCAATATATGTGTGCATTCGACTAAAATGCATCCATTGATGGCATGTATGTGGACCTTTACTTTTCAGTTTTCCCCAAAGTAATAACTATTCGAGCCAACCCAGCCAAAAGGGCAAGCGAAATGAAGTGATGGCCAGAGTACGTCGTACATGCTTATATTACGCAAACCATCAGTAGTCCATTAGACACAACCTTAAGCTCTTAGACTTTTTTTTACAGAAAGTGGCTGCTCCAAGGGCCAGCACCAAATCATCACAGTACAGTAACTACTGTCGACATTCAAAACTTGCTAGGGAATATTTTTTGAACTATTGACATATACAGTTGATTGATCTAAAAGTAATTCCGTCGTTATCAAAGTGCTAGAGTTACTCCTGCATGGCTGAAGAATGGCACAGAGAGTTGGACAGAGTGCATCACGATAGAAACATTTTTAGAGTGCCATAGTTAGTAGGATTGAGGCACAAGTTTTGTAACCTAGTGTCCGTGTTAATTCTCAGTTCTGTTCTGTTCTGTCCAGGCGAACTCCTGCTCTTGGTCTGGGGAATCCGTCTGTGCTGGGTGGTGCGCAAGGCCCCGTCAGAGTTCAATGAAAGCAAGTTTATCACCTGGGCCATCTACAACGAGACACTTCTATCTGTCTTCCTCAACATTGCCATGTAGGTGTATTCCATTAAAAACCCATCGTCGTGATGTATGTGGCACGCCGTGTGTATCTGGGACACGGAATATAGAAGAGGTTGGGCGGAAGAGATATTATTTCAAAAGCTGTTATTGTATTTCGCCTTTTACATCAGTTTGAGCATCACACTAATATCCAAGAATTCTTGAGGGACCAATTTTGTCTACAAATGTTGGTCCCAGAAGACTCCTTGGTAGACCCAAGAAATACGGTCGGATGTAAGGATCTGTAAATCGGCCCGAGAGTGCTAACTTACATAGCTGCTGGTGTAAACTACGGGCACATCAAACAGTGACGCATGTAGCTGTCGTCTCTCGGAGTTTACCAACTTCTTACCTGCAGCCAATGCATAACTCAAACTTATATTTCGTTGCAAAAGTCGTATCGGAAATAGTTTTTGGCATATATTCTATATACTTTGCACGTATAATAATTTTGAAGTCTCGCAAATTGTAACATGTATTAGACTAGACAGTACTTCGCGACACAAGATTTACAGGGAGACAGGTCCTGAAAGACCTTCCATTAGAGGGTCTGGGAAAATGTGTTTTTTTCCGAATGAGGTTCTACGTTCAGTTGTCAAGCGAGTAACAGTTGACGACTGCAATTCTTCTGAGTCAGAGACACAATGGGCACTGCTACGGTGTGAGTGCTAATGGGTTATACATAACAAGCTGGGGGTAATGGTTAGGTGGCCAAAACGTGATTTTCTCGCGTTCTAGCGGCTGGAGTGATGTCCGCAATTACAGTAGGACTTATTGCAATGTTCTAGACATCAAACATAGAAATGGTCTTGAAGTTCGAATTCCTGCAGCGTTAATGCACACATTGTGTAGGAGGAGTTGTGGGTGGAGATAAATACGTCACAACCACACGCAGTACTTCCAGGCATCTTTCCATCGGCTTGTAGAGACAGATGGTTACTTTGACATCTCCGACGGTGGCATTTAATTTTATGACTTGCGGAAATGAAGGAGACGTTGTTTGCAGCACGGAGGCGCCATACACGAACAAACACCTTCAGGTCGTCTGGGGAAACGGTGTGGTTGACGCCACTGTACATTTTGTACATCACACATCGGGCCCTTAAAGCGATATTATATAAGATTTTCACTTTTCAAATATGTTTTACACATTTGCTTACGCCTACCTGGGTTCATAATGACATTTGAAGAGTAAAAGATCAACGTCGTTGCGCCGCAAAAACGTCTTAGAAAACTGCCGACTCCTCGGCGATAGATCGCGGCCATGTTGTGTTTGTTTACATTCATTTTAGGAGCCTCCTAAAAATACAGCTGGCCTGGCGCAACTTATACTCGCGCAGCGCTGGGTCGCCTGAAAAGCAAAATAGCGACGCTAATATGTTGAAAGTTATTGAAAATCACAATCTAGATGAGAAAATTTCAATTATCTATATTTACAGTTTTGGCGCACAAATCTTACATAATATCGCTTAATTTATCACCTGTCAATCTAATTCAAAAAGACGATTTGGGATAGGAAAACATGTAGCTACATAGTGCTAGTCATTAAATTATATATAAGACATTTTTAGTTTCAGCACCGGCGCGTTCATGACTTAGCATATTGTCTCCATATCTCTCTCCTGTAGGATCTTCCTCCAGGACCCAGCCGACCCTGACGTACAGTATGTCCTGCTGTTCGCTCATAGTCAACTCACGGCCACCATGATGCTCGGGCTGCTCTTTGGTAGTAAGGTACGGGGTCTAGAGGAACAAAATATTATCAAAGTATTTTGCCTTTTTTGTCTCAATTTATCTTATCTATACAATAGAATGAATAGATAACCTGACAATGACCCTGACTGTGGGTTTAAATTTGTGTGGCGTACCGACGGAGCGTTCGACTCGGAACCAAGATAAGTTCCCGTGTTCGAATCCACCGATCTTGTGCCCCTGGGAAAGGCACTTTAAATTCAACGACTTTCCTCACTTAATTCAGGTGAAAATTATGGCTATTGTCCTCTTGAGAGTGCCGTCACCATGTCTTGTAGTAAATGTTGGAATAATTTTAAAACAATGACAATGAAGCGTGTGTCGTTCTAGGTATACATGATCTACAAGTGCAAGCGCAATAAGGATCTGACACAGACAGGGACCACAACGACATCACAGACCAAGAGCACACCGGCCAGTTCCACATCGGGAAAGTTCCTACTGACGAAGAAACCCGGGCAGCAGCTGCAGACACCGATAGAGGACTGGATCCTGGCGGACAGTCAGATTCCACAGAATACTGGACTCAGCCCGGTAGCAGCTGATAACGGACCGGTTACCATTGAGGTAAAGCATGGCCTTAGATAGTCCCAAACGATGGCCACCTACACAACAGGACTATTGCAAGTTTACAGTCATACATTCACGACATGCGTTAGTCTGTGCAGATTTTTTTCTGCTCCTTCACTATACACCTATGCAAACATGTATAGGTGTATTAAAAAACATGAATGAAGAGGCTCTTTTTACACAACCAAAAGGTTTATTCAGCCACGTTGCGGTGACCGTCTGTCAC